GAGGAGGAGGAGGAGGAGGAGGAAATGACAAGCATGCGCTCGACTGCCATGAAAACCACGCTGACAGCAGTCATGGTATGCAAAGTAATGTATCAATGTGTCGACCTGACGCCCGCACGCACAGACCTGCGCAGTCACCTCCAGAAGTACGGCACTGGTTTTCGATCGGCTAATTATCCCTATAACTATCGCTTGGCCTGTAGCCGCTGTCATTTCTGACCGTGACCGCCTGTATGGGGTTCATAAGCTGGAAAACATAAACAAATAAAGCTCCCTACTACCGTATAAACAAATGGTTTCGCTGCTCTATCGGTCTCCTTACTCATACATGCACCTGGAACTCCATCATTTGCGTCCATTCGTAAAATGAGGACTCTCTTTCTCAATTAATCACCAAACTACCCCTTTCCTCCCCCCAACCCTGCAAACAAAGGATCCTGAGGCGAGAGGGAGGGGAGTGGAGGGTTGGAACCTAGCTCCTGTGCGTTGCTGCTCCTCCCTGCTGGTCGGTTAACAAAGCAGCCCCCAGAGGGGGGAGTCGACGCCCCTCTGCGTGCATATCTGATATCCTTTGTCACAAACACGCTCCCGCAGACATCTGCTTGCGTCTGGTCGCCTGTCTGGTTTCACAGTGCAGTCTAACCAGGTGACTTACACCGGCATTCGGAGTAAACCCCGGGGCAGCCTCTGAGTCCACAGCAGCGAACTCCAGAAGATGGCAGGAGAGTCTCAAGACACCTACGCTTTGCACTTTCTCAGTCTTCACGCTTGGGATGATAGGGGGGCACCGATCTTCACCTGTCTCTCCCCCCCCCGCCCTCCTCACATAAATGGGACTCTTCCTCATCTCCCCACTCCGCCCCTAGGAGGGAGCGCACAGGTGACTAGGCCTCGGAAATGTCTAGTCCAAATGTATAACTTGCGAAATACAAAGGGCACTTGTATGTATAAAGGTATCTAGAAGGAAAGAACATCTCTTCTCAACTTTGTCGATGCAGGTTTATAGTATTGAATGTGAACAACAGTCAGAATTAAATGGGAGCGTTGGGAACATTAAACAAGGCGATTGGTGATGAGCGGCCACCTCAGCCTCCCGAACGCAAGTGGCAAGGGTGTTTTCTTATCGATTTTTGTGAAGAAGGGAGACAGGGGAACATTAAAAGTTAAGGGACGGAATTTCGGCAAAAGAAGAGTCAATTGGTCTCTTCAAACTCAAGGCCAGTTTTTTTTCAACAGTCGTTCATCGGAAACCTGAAATTTTTATGGACAGACTACACTACAAAAGAACGTGTTTGAATACTGCAGACCCTATCTTCCAAGAAATTAGTTAAAACGATATTCCACTCAAGAGTGCCCTCAAAAAGTTCTTTCTGTCGTATGGTAGACTGCGTCTTCCGCCATGTTACGCGCCTACCTAAAAGCCAAATCATTCAGTATGCCATCCCACTTGACCCCAGCTCTCACTGTCGACATCGTCGTCGAGGAAAATAAATGGAGACCATGCAAATAGAAGCGAAGAGACGAGTCCCAGGAAGCAGTCGTGAAGAAGGACACACGATTGCTGGGACAAAAGCTTTATTAGCCTGACGTTTCGGATTCCTGCTCGAACCCATCATCAGAGACAATAGGAGTTACGGGTGGTTCATGCACAAGAGGCTGCAGTATTTATAGGATGCAGTCGGTATGCTACCGCATACCTATGAATATTCACGGCTCCCCCCTTCATCAGGGATCGTTGCAAGTGGTGTGATGGCCGTTTGATGGCCGATAACAAGTGCAATAATTCTCCCATTCCATACTCGGTGCTGCGACTTCGCCTAGGCAGAGTAAGTGGCCACGCGGGGAGTGCAGAGGTGAACACTTTTCCCAACACCCGGGTCAGTGCGTCAGATGGTCGAGCAATCATCACACCAATATCCAACACACGTGATGAAATTGCAGCAATTAACGGCGCGAATATCGGCCATCAAACGGTCATCACACCACGTGCAACAATCCCTGATGAAGGGGGGAGCCGTGAATATTCATAGGTATGCGATAGCATGACGACTGCATCCTATAACTACTGCAGCCCCTAGTGCATGAAGCACCCCTATCTGCTTTTGTCTCTGATGATGGGTTTGAGCAGGAATCCGAAAGGTCAGGCTAATAAAGCTCTTGTCCCAGCGATCGTATCTCCTTCTTCAAAATGGAGACCTGTTTGAACGTATTGATAGCCGACCGGTTCGTGAGCCTGCCAGACCAAATCACTTAGTACTGCACGTCCCGACAGCTGTGTGTTTACCGGAGGTTTGAATGAAACACATTTCAGAAACATTTTTTGTCAAGACGCCTGTGCAGAAACCGAATCTGCGCACAGATAGACGGCTCACTCGAAACCGTCATCACATGCAGCTGCGGATGGATTAGAGAGAAAATCCGGAACGGCCTCCTCCTCCTCCTCCTCCTCCTCATCCTCCTCCTCC